TTTAAACGTGATATTCGTCATCAGGAGCTCAAGTTGTACTAGTCCTGTTACTCTCGAACAATCCGGATAAAGTCGGTGTAAATCTGGTACGCTCTCGAAAGAATCACCCACTGGCGAATGTAGATTAGGAGACTCTCTTCGCAAAAAGTGACTAAAAAAGAACGGCTGCTTCTTTCACATAAGTTAAGACTCCTTTAGCAAAAGGATTCTGATATTATTTTGGGAAAAAAGACAAAGCGTGCTCATATACTCACATGTGAAAGAGCAATCGTAGCAAAATCGTTTTAGAGAAAACAACACGTAATGTGCAGTGTGAAAAATTAAGCACAAGTCAAAAGCTGTTTAATAAAGGGTGTGGACATTCGCCAGTATTTTAGGAGTATTGGCGAATGTCTAGGCGATATTCACCTATCGCCAATATGGCGAATGTCTATTGGCGAGCCAAGTGGCGAAATGCAACTTTATCATCACTACTGCTCAAATCCTTTTCAAACAGGAAAATAAACATGGCACTTAAAGGGACTAAGTGATGCTTAAAGTGACTGCCACTTATAAGTGTGTGCAACCTTGTGGAAGGTCGTTTCCCCCTTGCATTTTATGCACTAAAAATGCTAATAATTTTACGCTCTGCCAGTAGCGGCGTGCGAGTAATCAATTTGATTCTTTTATAACTTTGCTCTCTCTCTCTCTCTTTCCTTTCTGAGGTTTAAAATCAATCTTTTGAATGTGATACAAATGTACTAGATGAAAAACTGGTATGAATCTGACATAATTTCGAGGTATACAGATTGTTTATTTGTTTTATCTTTTTTTCAGATGTATGATGCTGTTAATTTATTTGATATTGCTGGTCGTACACTATTGAAATTTGCACGAAATATATTAGTTAAAATATTTACGACGGATGAGCTTAAAACACGAAAACTTCGGGGAAATGCAAAATTGAGAAAATTAGATGATGTACAGTTACGAGGGACCATCGCCAACCGCCCAACTCCAATTTGAACGATCGTTTGCCGATAGATACTATATAGTGTCCTAGTGATAACCCTAAAAGGATTTGGAAGTATAGCTTTTATTCTAAAACTTAAGGATTTTTCCATTTTCCCGACTAGAGTTTGGATCGTATTTTACAAAATTCATAACTACGTTAAATCGTGACCGAATCGTCTATACGAACTTGATAAAGGTCATAATCCGCACGAATATAAGTTCTTTATACGTCTCTAAATAGTTAATTGTATAAGATTCGATGTCTAGGCGGCTTGTCCACGTAACTCCGCTGGCAGAGATGTCATAGCGTCCCCTTTTTTGCTCATTTTGTTTTGAGCATAGCTCCGTTACAAAACGTTCTAGAGAGCTCGGAAACATCTCAAATTGAAGAAAAAATTGTTTTAAAGATTTTGAGATGCATCCGCTCCCTGGAAAATGTTCTCTTTTAGAATCTACATTCAAAACGGTGAGACCTACTTTTTACGGAAAAATCCAGAACTTACTTATGGCAAATTTGCTGCCAGAATTCGTTTACCCTGCGGTAAAGGTATATGGCCTGCATTCTGGTTACTTGGCAATGCATGGGATAAATACAAATATTACTGGCCGACAGTTGGTGGAATTGATATTGTAGAAATGATTGGTGGCAAGGTATGGGGTGTTGAGCAGGATTCAATTGCTTATGGGCATGCACATTGAAACAATGAATCAAATACAATGTCGCCATTGAATCATGTATCACAAGGAGTCGGATGGAGTACCCCTGATGGTTCGAAACTAAACGATAATTATTTAGTCTACTCGTGTGAATGGAACATAACTACCATTTCTATTGGCATCAACGAGTTTACCTATTTCAATTACTCGACAACAAACATTCCAGATTCAATAAACCCTGTTGATGCTTGGCACGGAAAATGGCCATTCTATATTATTCTAAATATTGCTATCCGGGGTAGTTGGCCGGGTAATCCCGATTCAACAACGGTTTGGCCTCAGTACATGGATGTAGATTGGGTTCGTGTTTATCAGTTAGTTTAGAACATCAACAACTAGCTAACCATAACCAAGACGCTACTGCACATTGTTTCTTCGAGATTTGCATCTGATCAGTTTTTCTTTTGTTACAGTCAGTGCCATGTTACTTTTCAATTCAAGAAATGTTTTTGATCACGACATTTTTCTGGACATCACAGCAACCGTATGTCATTTAGTTGGCGTCTTTCGCTTGATTAGTTAAATAAATAATTAAAACTTAGTTTTTAATAAAATATTGTTCCCCCTGTAGCTTCGGTAGGATTAGCTACTGGTTATAAACGACAGAGAACAAGTCCCGTAAGTCCACTGAGTGCAGTACCTTCTAGAATTCAGTTTGCAATTTTAAGCTTCGAAATCGGATGTGTTCTCATCAGGGCTGGCCTTTTAATGACCGACGAAGATTTGTATAAATACATTGTTGGTTTAAAGATAATAAATAAATCATTTTTATTGACAAGAAAACAACGATAAATTGCAAGTGCAATACATGGATGTAGACTTGGTTTGTGTTTGTCACTTTAGAATATCAACAACTAGCTAATCATAACCAAGATGCTACTGCACATTGGTTTTTTAACATTTCCATCTGATCAGTATTTTTTTTGTTACAGTCAGTGTCATGTTACTTTCCAGTTCAAGAAATGTTTTTGATCACGACACTTTTCTGATAAAAGAAGATGACATTATAGTAACCGTATGTCATTTAGTTGACGTCTTTCGCTTGATTAATTAAATAAATAATTAAAACTTAGATTGTAATAAAACTGCTCAGCGTCGACGCTGGGGATTAAGGTGCTGGAAATGCAGCACTTGAGCGCATTTTGTTTTCTCGATATTTATACAAGGATCGATAGAGCTCGTTGAACTGAATCAGAATATGTGCGTTTTAGCCTTCCAACAAAGTTTTTGAGAGTCAAAAACTTAAAAAAACTGAAAATTTAAGTTTTTAGAAACGACCTACATTTTAGATACTGAGCGTTAATCTCAAACCCGGTACGTTTGAGAGCTTTAGAAGTTTTTTATTCCAATTCTACATGAAAAACTGCGTCTAAAAAATAGTTTCGATGTCATACAAACATCGTATGATCATTAGAAATTCAGATTTTTCGCCGATAGTGGAATACCTCATCGGTGGTTTCCTTATATCTGGAATCAGCATCAAAAACTGAAACGCACATCAGTCAATTCAGCTTTTGATGCTGATCCAAATATGAGATTGGTTTTGCAAAACGATGGAAGTTTGATAGTGAAAACTGCAAAACATGAGTGCATTTCCTTGGTATTTGCTTCCTGTTTCAAAAAAATGAGTTTTCTCAACAACGAAACGATATTATTCAAAACCCATCCGTAACTTTTTTCATACTGTTATGACGAATGTAACTATGCAAAAATACTGGCTTCATCTGTTTTAAAAAGCATTGAATCGTTTGGCAACCACCGATGAGGTATTCCACTATCGGCGAAAAATCTGAATTTCTAATGATCATACGACGTTTGCATGACATCGAAACTATTTTTTAGACGCAGTTTTTCATGTAGAATTGGAATAAAAAACTTCCACGTACTGGGTTTGAGATTAACGGTAGTATTTAAAATGTAGGCCGTTTCCAAAAACTTACATTTTCAGTTTTTTTAAGTTTTCGACTCTCAAAAACTTTGTTGGAAGGCTAAAACGCACATATTCTGATTCAGTTCAACGAGCTCTATCGATCCTTGTATAAATATCGAGAAAACAAAATGTGCTCAAGTTTTGAATTTCCGGCACCTATATGATATAGGTGCCGGATATATAGGCTATATCCTTCTGGAAATACAAAACACCTGAATATTCTTTGAATAACTTTCAACAGGAAAGAGACTAAGGTCTGCAGTTTTTTTTCGACCAATAGCCAGCACGTAGACACTCCTCTAAAGAGGATCTTTGTGATCTTGTTTTAGTTGAAAGTATATGCACTAGTATTCAGTAATTCTATTACGAATGATAGATAACGACTTAAATTACAGCAGTCACAAGACAAGTACCAACAGCAAGCGAGGAAATCCAAAAAAGATGCACTAAGCATTTTATTATTCTCTAGATAACTGAGGTATCTGTTACTTTTAAACAAGGGGTTACATTTAATCGAGTTGCAATACCGTTTGTATCAATGGTGTTAGCTGATTATTATCCACTTGATTTCGTAGACACAAATTCACTTCATTTGTTACTTTTTGAATATGTAAACACCGACTAATCAACCTGCTAAATTGAATAATGGCTTGTGTTTCACCAAATGTGTATTCCATGTACTGCCACAGCAGTTTTATATAAAAATTTTGTGTCGAATAAATTTGATATATATTTTCTATCGCATGTGTTTCTATCTGATTAATAGTTGTTAATAAACTTGTACTAAATATGAGAACGATCAACATGAGTTTAATAATTACCAAATCATGTTGATATGACACTAAAGATTGAATATTTTGTTTCATTTCTCGATACAAATCGTCACCATGTACAGAAATCATAAACTGACTATGTTCACGCGTTGCTGAGACACCAGTGAAATGTTCGATGATAATCAAATTCAGTCGCATTAATACATGAGAATTGCATTTTGACAAGTTAACTAGAAAATTAAATTTTAGAATAAAATTAGACAGCAGAAAGAAACACCCATATAACCTAGGAAATAGGCCAGTCCGTTCTACTTTTTAATCTGAAATAGTTCCACAAGTAGCAGAAAACTATTTTTATTAAGTTCTAATCACTTTTTGATCATTTCAGTTTTTATCCTCCGCATGATTCAACACTCGAGTATTGGATCATGTGGAAGATAAAAACTAAAATGATCAGAAATTGATTAACGGTCATTCCACGCGTACTAGCCCAAAACCGTAAGTTCGTTACGTTTTCGTGAAAGTTATAGCTCTTCAGCCGAGCAACGTACACAGTTGGGGAACGCCTTATTTTGTAGTTTAAAGATTTTTCTTTCAAAGGGTAATTAAGTAAAGTCTAGCTCTATCCTAAGGACCCACTCCCAATTCTTGCCAATAAGACCATTTTGTATGAAAGTGGTGTATAGCAAAAACATTATATTATTTAGAGCTGACCAAAAGTTCTGACAACATGAAATAAAAATATAAAGATAAGGAAATATTTTTAATTTAATTTTATCAAATGTTCAGAATAGTTTCGATGATTATTTATATCAAATTCAATCCTTTCTAACAAGTAATTTTTTTTGAACTCTTTTTCTAAAAAATGTTTAGCTACCTTGGAAACCACATGAGTACATCACATTTCATTTGTTTTAAAATTTAGCGATCTTTTGTTCGATCATATCAGTTGTGTTGTAGCACTACTAGTGATAAGATATGGATTCATTTTAGATAGGTTAGTCATAAGTCATCTGACGCTATCTGGCATATTGAAGATGAGTCGTTAAAGACTATTTGTTCATGGAGACAGATTTGAAGTAAACCTTTGTTTCGTATATTTATTAAATCAAATGGTCTTGAGCGGCTGTAGATAAAGGCAGGATTACTAGTATTATATTGAAAATCGTCTGAAGCCTTTTGTTAATGTAATACGAAAACAAATAGAGACGTCAAGTTCAAAATATACAAAATTGCTTGACGGTCATCGCTGACTTCATCTCATCTGATGTTATTTATTACTTGACAGAAGAAGGCCTCAATATAACGTCTCATCCACCATACCTAATACTACATAATATTTGGTTAAATAATTCTATCAAACGAAGTTTAACTAATTAAATAACTGAAATGTGATGTGCTCATGTGATTTTTCAAGTAGCTAAACATTTTTTTTAGAAAAAGAGTTCAAAAAAACTTTTAATAAATTATTAGAAAGGATTGAACTTGATATAAATAATCATCGAAACTATTCTGAACATTTGATAAAATTAAATTAAAAATATCTCCTTATCTTTATATTTTTATTTAATGTTGCCAGAAGTTTTGGTCAGCCCTAAGTACTTAAACTAATCAACTGGTAGACTGTGCTTAATTATCATTTGAAAGAAAAATCTTTAAGTTACAAAATAAGACATTCCCAGTTCTATACATTGCTCGGCTAAAGAGCTATTTATCTCACAAAACGTCACGGACTTACGTAAAAGTGAAATTATGTGGAATGGATCGTTAGTAAAAATAGTTTTCTTGTATTTTTGGAATTATTTCAGATGAAAAAGTCGAAGAGACCGGTCTATTTCCTCGCTTATACGGGTCCTCCTTTCTATTCACAATTATCATTAAATAATGATATTCATGAACATTTTCTTGACACTCAAGGTCACACCTTGATCATTTATACTAAGCGATTGAAACTCGGGAATATGTCTGAAGTATGATAAGAGTTGAACAATCCATACACTCTTCTTATTCACAAATTCATTAACTGTTGTCAAAAGAGAAATTCGAGTCGATATAGGTTTCGCTTTTTGATCGTATAAAATGAGGACATTATTTAAACGACACCAATCATCTTGTGTTAAACTGGATTTATCATTCGATAATAAATTGAGTGGAGAAATCTATATGAGAAAGAAATATACTAGATTTTCTAATATTTAATAAAAATAAAATATACTAACAGTTTGTTTGTGTATTACAGTTTCTTTTAATAGTCGATTATTTGACATTAAACATTTTTTTATGTGTTTTTCTTTATCGGTGCGAATCCATTCTTTTCTCATTCCAACATCAAAACATTTTTGTAAACGACAATAAGTACATTGTCGACGAGTATTCACGTTCATTTCACAATAACCAGATAAATGACATTTTAAATCAGGCTGAAAATAACATTTTAAATTAGACACAAAATATTATAATTAGTAGATTAGTTTGAAAATGTAATTATAGAGAAACTGTTTTCTACTATATGTACCCCTCTGTAAATCGCTTACATATCGAGATGGGAAAAAATAAACCGTGAATTTTATTTTTGATGCACCTTTTTTACTATATGAGCTAGAGAACGAACTCAAACGTCCATAGAAAGAGCAGATAGTTTTGAACATCACTATATAAAATAATTAATACAAAAGATCGCTCACGTTTTATAAATATGAAAATTTTTTGTCGTCTTAAAGTGTTATGGTTCTAGCTCATCAAAAACGACATTATACGTTTGAAAATCGAACCCTATTCTTTATCGGTCATAGTTGTAGGCTTCAAAACGCAATGAATTAACTGTCTGATAGTGATATGACTTCCACTACAAAGACTCGTTGATTGGAGCTAATATATCTATAAACCCCCGTTTTTTTCACCATCCGTTAACTGAGATCAAAATTGAAAACTGAATTTGTTTAAGAGTATTCCTCGCCCTCTTTTTGTCAAAATTTGAATTTCCGAGTTAGACGTTAAGTATCCTCTACATAATGAGACGCCTCTAACGAGGGAACCTCCCCAGGTTGTAAATCGCTTTCGGGATAAAACCTAGTGGATCAGAGCTAATCAAGAGTGCTGATTCCGAATATAAAAATCATTTTAGCCGATCGATCTTCAGGGACCGGATTTCTAGAAAACCAGTTTTCAAAACTCCTAAAAAATAACCCAAACCTTTGTTAATAAGGCAGGATTGTAGCCCGCATATTTCTGATTAAAATGAGACCTCTCCGAGCTCTACATGGTCTTTCTTTGCAAAGTTGTAGAATTTACGAGAAAAGCCCTAAATTAATTTCTTCTTATTTCTGTAGCTTTAAGCTGACAATGATCATTTAGGGCTTTTCTTGCAAAGTCGAAAGCAATTTGCAATCTGGTGAGGTTCCCTCGTAAGCTCTTTATGATGTTTCCTTTCCGAGTTATGCATTTTTTGCGTTGAGTTTGTGTTTAATGAAACATTTGGGATTTGATGTTACTAACCTCAAACAGTTTGGGTCTGAGTTTGTCACCAAACCCAATGGAAGTCTTATTAATCAATTACCTCTAAACCCAAACTATTTGAGCTTACATACCTCAAATACCAAATGCTTCACCAAACACAAACATTCGGGCTTGGTGCGTATCGGTGCGTCTTAAAAAATATATAACTCGGAAAAGAAATGTCATAAAGAATTGAGAGGCGTCTCATTATATCGCAAATACTTAACTAATAAGCGAATTACGTCTATCTCGAAATCGAAATTTTATCAAAAAAAGGGCGAGGAATACTCTTAAAGCCGCCCCGCCCCCTGCTAGAAACACAATTTTTTTATAAGTCGATATTGAGCTAAACACATCATTAGATAAACCATGCTGTCTGCTATCAGGATCCATACCTATTTGATCTCTATCGAAGAGGTATGAAGGTATTCAGAAAAGTTTTCGGAAAGCTTTAAAAAACTAACTTTTGAAAAATGTCACCTTCTAATAAAAAGCGAATCCAGAAATACGTGCAATGACACCAGGATGCAGAGCAAACATTTCTGATCAAAATGAGACATCGCCCAACTCCGGATGACGTTCTCCTCAAAAGTTATAAGAGTTTCTCTAGAAGCCCTACAATATGCATCACGCTACCGCTAGAGACCTGCACGGGTTAAGAGAACGTAGCCCAAACCCGACCCGACAAGAATTTAACCCGAACCCAATCCGATCCGATAAGTTTTTACTCTTTTGTTTTGTTCTTACGCTTATGTCTTTTTATTTACCTATTTATTTAGCGGAGGGCATCACATTACAGGCGAGTGACCTTTTGCTAATAGTCTGCTAATATTTCAGAAAATTTGAGCGTTATATCTTTCTAAATTCGCAACATCACCTCTAATAAAAGAGAAATGTTATCATTGAAAATTGTGCGGTTTGGAAAAACATCGTTTCCCTTCAAGAAGAAAAGTTCAGTAACAAGCGAATTTAGGAAGATATGACGCTCAAATTTTCTCTAATATCAGCAGGCTAGTAGCGAAAGTACAAAAGATAATTTCCCTTCCCAATTCTGTGTTTTGACTTGGTTATAGAATTATTACTGTTACTACACACAGTGTTCCTTTAGAACAAAAAAAATTCATAACTTTTGAAAGAATTGATATAGGTCCTCCTTTAAGGGTTTTTATCAGCTCATTTTCCTCTATTAACTGGCATAATATCATTAGAAACGGAGTTGTGCATCTGCAAATCTTGCCTCGTTAGTGAATGCAGTTGTTCTAAAATAAGTATTTCAACTAAAAATTCCAATAGAGTTAACTTTTCAACGAGTAATACAAAACTGAAATTATTGTCTATATTTTAAATTGCGTCGTAAAATGTTCAACCCGCACCCGACCCGACAAGATCTTAACCCGAACTCGACCCTAGGGGCGGATCGGGTCGGGTTGCAGGTCTCTAGCTAGCGCTACCGTATCTCGCAAGCGGTGTTCACCTTGACAGCGTTTCGTAGCCCCTAGATTTCTCAGTAAGAAAATGTTGTGAAGAGCTCGGAAAGGTCTTAACGACGAAAACACATGTGACTAGAGACTAATAGAGCTCAATTTTTGGTGTTCGGTCTAGATTTGTGGTTAGAAAAATACCTCTACGCAACTTAATAAGACGTTTTTGGATTTTTGACGCTTACCATTATTTGATATCGAAATTCCGGCTCTATTACTCTCTGTTCACACGTGTTTTCGTCATTTCAAGACGTTCCCGAGCTCTCCACGTTCTTCTGTTACTGCGAAATATTGCAGCTACGAACAGCCCCATTTTGACTTGACACCTCTGATACTCTAAACAAATTCACTTATCCACTTAAGATCAAAGAGAAGAAAAATCGGTTTTACAAAGTTTGAACAGTCCAGTGTAGTAGTTGTTTTTATATGTAATGTTCAAAAGTATCTGCTGTTTCGAAGGGTGTTTGAATTGGCTCTCTAGCATGAATAGTAAGAAAGATATACAAAAAAAAAAGTCATGGCTTATCTTTCCGCAACTCGGTACACAATAGACTGAATGAACTGCTAACCTTTTGCTCAACTGTGTCTGATGGGATTCTGCCGTTATAATGAAACGCTACTATACCGTTGTTCGGTCAAATTACAGCGGAAACTGACTCCTCTCAGAGCCACAGAATATATAAATAGTTTCTATGAAGTTTTATTATACGAGTTGCACACGTGCTCTCACGCTTACCTTGTTTAGCAACGCGTTTCTTCTAAAAAATGCTTTACACGATTCACATGTAATTTGACCAAAATTAAATCCAAATGCGTCCGCACGACATACCATACATTTCCAATGTTTCTTATGCTGTTCAACTCTTATCCCATCCTCTTTTTCCATCTTTTTATTCAATTGTGGGTCAAGTTCTTCAATTTCGTCGATAAACTTTGATATTTCATCATACGCAGAAAGATCTGTCGATGACGTTGAATAATAAGGCGGATATGATTGAGAATGAACTAATTGTTTTTGTTGTTTTGAGTCATAATTATCAATCATAAATTCGTTAAACGGTAAGAGATTTGTTCGATTCATATAGCACTAAAATTCATGTAAACTTAAATAGCGAGATCTACATATATTTTCTTATTTCTCTTGTTCTCTTTCAACGTTTAATCTATCTATTTTCACATTCTCTTTTACATATATATATATATAACATTTATATGAAAATGTCTTAGTCGTCTAAAGTCTGTTCATAGCGTTCAATTGTTAAGATTATAGACTATAGAATAAATCAGAATCTGATCAATTATCAAAAGAATTATACTATTATCAAAATTTTAAAAGGAGGTTATCCGGCAGAATGCTTATAACTTTTTAACGAGGTAGCTAGCGACCTGCGGTTTTCGCCCTTTGAAAGACAAGACCCGGGGACGTAGATGTGTGGAAAATTTGATTGGTCCCACAATCGACCAATCAGGTGAGTGCTTGGTAGACATTTTGAAATCGATATTCTGAAGACATTTCCCACTTGCTTTTAGCTTGTAATATCACCACTCGATAGAGAAATGTTTTCTCTTTCAATCTACACAAGGCCGACCTTCCTAGCTTGTTCCATTCAGGAGCTATAAGCGTTTT